ATTACTACATCACATATACATGAATATATAATATACAGAATACATGCACATGATGTTTGTGTATATATCTATGTACATATATCTATATACACATATCTATATACATAATAATATACATATCTTTATACATATATCAATATACACATATCTATATACATATATCCAAACACATAGATTTATATACAAAAATCTAAATACATATATCTATATACATAGATCTATATACATATATCTACATACCTAAACATATACATATGTATATATATATGTATGTATGTATGTATGTATGTATGTATGTAATGTAATGTCACGTCACGTCACGTCACGTCACGTTATGTATGTATGCATGCATGTATGCATGCATGCATTCATGCATGTATGTATGTATCTGTGCATATAAGAACATCTTAAAACCAGCTTGGAACATCTTTAAAGGCTCACTGAAGACCCGTCCCGGCCTTTGCCCAGCGCCCCCGGCGACAGGCCCTTGCGCTTGGAGGGCAGCGTGCGGTCCACGCGGAAGCCGCGGGGGAACAGCACCTGATCCTTGGCGAAATGGTACTAATGGTTGTTGATGTGGTAAGGATGATATAGTAAGGATAAAGTAAGGTGGTATGATGTTGGTGGTTGATGTACTAATCCTGTGAAATTGGGGGAATTAGGCAAGTATGATATAGTTGGTTGACGTGGTACTAATGGTGATATATGATACAGAAATCATATATATATAATGATAATATGTACCTGAATATACTGCATAGATAGATATACAGAATATATGTATACATACACATTTATTGGATATATATATATATATACCCTGTACATACTGTATTGTACATAGATTTTGGGCTTGCATATTGGATGATACTAATCCAAAGGTGAAGATGTTTATACCTGTTTTTTTGTTTGCAAAGAATCACAAGGTTGGCATGGAACCATCCAATTTTCTTGGGTTAATAAATTTGATTTAGTATTCTGCCCGAATTGTGATAAACCATCGCGGAAACTCACATGTTCAGTCAACTTGGGGGAATTCCTCCTACTAAGACAATATATGCTGACATCATGGTGAGATCGCAATTCATCTGGAAATATGCCTTCAAAAACACAAAAAACAAAGGGTGAGGGTTGACGCAACAAATAGGGGTTTGACATTTTTAACCATCAACAAATGGACATTGTGAGCAGGAAAAATGAGGAAGAAGGGAACAGCAACAGACGGTGAAACACCAGCAAGGTGGAGGTATCAATACACTTGCTCACGCACAGCTAGTTGACGAACAACAGGTAAATAATTCAAATAATGGTAAAGATTTCACCAAGTGCGGGTGAAGATAGGTGAACATAGGGGAAGAATGACTTGCAGATGGCTGATTTCATCCTCAAAGCTTCAGCTGGCACCTGCTTGAGGATAGTCGAGGGGACCCCTAAATTAATCATCGCATCGGACCTTTACATTACATAGATGACATAGATACAGAACAGCAGGGATGTAGTCTACAATGAGAAAAAAGTCATGGGAAATGAAAAAGGAAGCCAGTGAACACCTGTTCAAATCTACAGGCAGGAATCGTCCGATCGTAATTTCTCCAGCTTTGAAAGTGACACCATTCGTAGCTGCAAAATGCTGTAGCTCTTTGCGTCCATTCGTTAGCAATCACCTCCCAGACCCCAAGTTTTGATGTGTTCCGCGTACAGACTCGTGGGATTATGGAGCTCTAGTTGTGAATTACAACCACTTAGACTGGGAATAAACGAGTTCTATTACCAGGTAGTATATGTATACATGTCATCTGAAATAACCCAAGCTTTTGAGATTACAACCACATTAAAGCTCCATTCTAAGTATCGTTGCACCAAGATTCCAAGTGCTCATCCGTGGTGATCTTGGAACGTGTAGGTAACACGGGAGCCTGTCGCTATGCAACCACAAAAAACCGTTGATGAAAGTCCTGACAAAATTTCTGCTGTTGATTTGCTAACATCAAAACTCCAGAGTCTTTCTAGCTCTTTTGAGTGAAACGAGCCAACATCCAACGCTATTTCAGATTAACGAAATCCTGGAGGTCGGCATATTTGACGAACATCTTTGACAAGTCAACAACGAAATCCCAAATCGCACGTTGACTATGGGATGCTGGGATGATCATCAATGGAGGATCTGTGCAACGGCTGGATTAGTGAAACACCTTATCTCTGAAGTAGATGAACTCAACTGTCATTCTGAATAATTCTCAGGTCATTGACATTAGAGCTGCTAAGTTCCCTCTTGCATTTCTGCAGCTTGACAGTTGCGAGCAGAATCTATTTGGTCTGATCACAGTGGGATGTTCCAAAATTACTAGTCCTTGTTTTGTCCGAGGGAATATAGTGGATTTCCCAAAGTTTTTGGTTCTTTTTCTTTTAGGAAGTATCTCATACTCTGGTTGTCCCCAAATTGTTCCCAGCAAGTTTTTAACCCGGCAATTCCTGGGGACAGGATGGCACGATCAGCGCCGGTATCCCTGAAATCATGGAGTATTGTGTGCATGGCCTAGAGATCGGCCCGTTAACTTTCACACATTCGTTTGTACTAGCTACAATTATATCTACAATTGCTAAACATATACAGTACTATTCACCAAGCTATTTGCTGAGGATATTCTCATCATCTGCTGGGAAAAAATGGTCACACATTAACAACACACCAACCATATAACCATTGACTTGTCCGTGTCCGCAAGTCATTTCATGGTCAATCTTTGATAGTCCAGAAACAAGCAATCTTTTTGCTGGGTATGTTTTTTTTCCATCATTTGTGGCAAAAATCAAATGAAACTACCCAACTACCCTTCCAAGGTTGACCTCGTTGATCAACTTGGCATCGATACGCGTCTGCAAATTGACATCCTCCTACACCGCATGGTCGGATTTCGGGGGCTTTCCATCGGCTACGTCTATAGAAAGCAACCAACAAATAGGTTCTACGGTGTTTTTTTTACACTTTTTTTTTCAAATGAGATCCTAATCATGACTGATTCTATTGACACCAATCAAGCTGGAATTCATCATGCTCACCATGACATTTCTCTCATGATGCAAGATAATGGACTTCACAAGCAAAAACACAACACGTGGGTTTACATTTGGCCCGACAAGATTGGGGATAGAAACAATGGACCAACAAACACGGAGATGCAAACCACTTTTTGGGCATGGACAGCCCAACCGTAGTAATGTGGTTAAAACAATAATAAACTATCCATTTGGGAATGGTTTATACCACCTATTTATGGTGATTTGGGGGATGGTTTTCAATTGTTTTAACCACATTACAGGGAGCTTCCACCCAGTGAAACTCGAACTGTGGATCCGCTAGGCTGTGCCGGTTTTTATAGAGTCGTAATCATCGACAAGTTTGGAGCCGCTGTAAAGGACATTTCCGACCCACCAGGATGGGAGCCTCTTTCCCACAGCTTCCCATAGTCCCGAAATGATGCAGCCCATTCCTTGACGGGCGCGCGAGGGTCATGGGTCTGGTAGTTGACGTTGGTGAAGGAGTCCTGCAACGTGCAACGCTAAGAAAAAAACAACCCTGATTGTTGGTGGTTGGTGGATGTTTTTTTGGGGCCTTTCTAGTGGTCTTTATGTCTAATCATCCACTGTTTGAATTGGGATTTCCAGGATCCCCGTGAAAGGGATTGACACTGGGAAGCAGGATTTCGGTCACCAAACGTCGACGAGGCGGTTGTAGGAGGCATGAACATTGGAGCAAACATGTTTTTCAACCATGAAAATCCTAGGACTGCCGGTGCAAATCCACTTTTCTCCTTATTTCCAAAGTTTTTTCAGGTTGCATGTGGATCTGTCGCAAAATCTATCTGAGAATCACATGGTTGATCATCATATATCATCATCTTCCACACGCCACAAATCGATCTGTATCCTCTGGTAATTTAACATAGCTATTGAAAATGGCCATTTATAGTGGATTTTCCCATGAAAAATGGTGATTTTCCATAGTTATGTTAGTTTACCAGAGGGTATCCCCTCTTGCACAAACCCATGTGACATTTCGGGGGGGTAGATCCGATCCCAACCATCCACAACTTCGATTAGTCGACCTTCTCTTGCCGCTCAGACTGTACGGAGGGCACTTGGGAAATGGTCATGGACGGTGGCATGCCAGCAATCACACCTGGAAGCGGTTGAGCAAGTTCCAAGAACCTGGTTCCGTGGATTGGGTTTGAAGTCCTAATGTATGAGTAAGCAATCGCAATCATACTTTTGCACATAGTAACAGAATTCCTCGTTCATTCTCGGGGAGCAATAGATCAGGCTGTTAACAATCAATATTCACTCACCTGAAATTATAAGGCTTTCTTTCGGGATAAAGATCCCCTGCTTAACGATCACTCACCAGTGAGGTCGGATCATTACAGTTTTCGGTCGCAGCTGAGGTTCGGTTCCAAAAGCTTGACATGTTGTGTTTGTTGGAAACATACACTGAAACCAGCAATGAACTGATGGTTAATTGTCTTACTATATCTCTTCACATGTATATTATATATATATATCTTGACTAGCCTCTGGTTATTTAACATAGCCATGAAAAATCATCATTTTTAAAAAACGGTAAGCCATCTATTTCTATGGGCCATCTATACCATGGCAAACTGTTAGTCATAACCAGATGGTGATTCCACATGGAAATCCGAGAGCAAAACTATCATCAAAGGGTGTTTTTCAGCTTTGTGTTGGTGAAATCGCAAGGATGAGAACCAAGACCCAAAGGATCCATGGTAACCCCTGGTTTATTGATGAATTCTAACACTTTTGAAGGTTAAAACATCTTAAAACCACCTAAAAAAGTATCAGTGACTGCCACCATCAACATTGGATCCCGCCTGCATCCAACTCGCCCGCCGAGGTTGGAGGTGGGACGCCCGTAACTGCAGCATATCCAAGAATGAGTATTGAAGTACTGTGGTAAGCCCAAGAATCAAATACATTCCAAAAAAGAAGAACTACCAGACACTGTAAGATTTTCAAACGTTTTTTTTCCCGATGTCGAGGTTCTGAACTCCAAATCACTTTGGGGTGCACAACTTTCATCGCAGTCACGCCTGCAGCCTCTCCATCCTCTCCTGCCGGCGACTCTGGCGAGGCCGTGTGCGAGGCCTCCGCAGGCGCGCTGGGCGAGGCCGCGGCGGAGGCGTCGGAGTCGGATTCCTTGGAACCGAATCAATGGAATCTGTGGTGTCAGTGAGGAATGTGGAAGATGCCTTACAGAACAATGGGTTGAAGCAACAAAAGAACTAATAAACAGGAATGGGGATATAACCAAGGATTACAGTTGTGAGAACAACTGGTGCCCTAATATCCTAATGTTTTCCAGCTTGAAAGGCCTACAAACTAGGAATCAAGTAGGGGTTCTCCAAAAATTGGGAGGTTAAACCGTTCAAAACAATCAATTGATGTGGATGCCCCTCCCAAGAAGAGAACATTTGCTGAAACCTGCATAATAAGGCAATGCAGAGGTGGATTTTTGGGGTCCTGCAGATCCAAGTTTTCTTTAGATCCCTATTTTTGTTGGGCCACCGTGCCTGTTGACCAACCACCAGTCCACCGACAGAAGCGTATTTCAAATCCCCCAAATGATCACTTGACCCATTTTGGACCAACCACCAGTCCGACAGAAACTTGTTTCAAATCCCCCGAATGTATTTCACAAGATACATGGGAAGAGTCCCACAACTGGTCTACCATTCACAAGTGGGCCGCAACCCTGTTCATTTATGAATTACAATTACTTGCAAGTCACCAAAGTATGAAGGCATCCTCTTGTTGGCTACATTGCTATGATCAGGAATCTCCCTAATTCTTGGTTGCTGAACCCCCATGTGATCCATAATCAGCAACACCAACAACCATCTAATTTCAAGTGCCAATAAACAAGGATGAAGTCTTACCCTCAATGCATCGATTTTGGGCAAACACGAAACCATGAAATCATTGTATTTTTATTTCCTAGTACAAGGGTTTCAACATGTTCCCACCGTTTTTTTCCCATCATCCGATGTCATTTGTTTCTTTAACCATTCATCAATTTTAATTGTATTATGTATATATATATATATACATTATATATATATATTATAATATATTATATATAAAATATATATATATAAATTATATTATATATTTCTATATTATATATTATATATAGTGAACCTGCAAACAGCAAAGTTACACGGTGGTGCGTATTGGGCTCAAAAACACAGGTGGTGACAACACAGTACTGTTGACTCGGTCACCTCACTTTTTCCTCGAGTAGCACGGATGTGCTAAAAGGGGCTGCGGTCACGTCAAGTGTCTTACATGACATGCCATCTCTACTCCTAGCTAGCTACTTAGTTCTGAACTAGGTGTTTTACCCCTAGCAAGTTGCCACCCTCCTTAGAGTGGACTTGTCGGAGTGAGACGCTACTGGTGAGACGTCCCTACATCCCCAGGAACCGGTCTTCAGCCCGTCTCCATTCTTCGAATTCTGCCGGAGACATATGGGCGAACGGGTCGCTCCGCTCGATGCTGGCTGCATCGGCTTCGCTTTCCGGTTCCCGGGTTGGCGGATCTTCCCGCTCAGGCGGAGCTGCCCGCTGTTCAGCGGTGCTGCCCGCGCTGGCTGGTGCCGCCTCGGACTCACTTGACTCAGAGTCCTGGAGGTCCGACATGCCGTCGGGATGCTCTCCTCGTAGGAGAGACTCTTCTTGGTTGCGCCATTTGATCAACTCCTGTATGGTCATTCTGGCCTCTGCGGCTTCTTGGACCCAACGTTCCTCATGCCACCTCTCGATCCCTCGAGGAGTGAGTTCCTCAGGAGACCGCGGGGCTTCCGCTGGTGTCCGCGGGTTTGCCGCTGGCTCTGACCGCGGGGTTGCCGCTGGCGCTGGCTTGGTCAGCGTTAGCTGCTGATTGTTTCTGATGGGGTAACTGCCACCATCTTGGATGTGCAATTGCACCTCATGGCCTGTTTCTTGTGCTACTGGCCCGATTGGACATAACCAGTCCACACAACAAGCGATGAACTGTTCTGCCAGTTTCCATATCAGTACACAAGTGCCGATTGCGGCCAAGATAAACAATGCATACCATTCGTATGGGGACAGGCAGTATGTTGGCTGCCCTGCCACTGCCTGAATTTGGCTCAGGACAACAAGTGCCTTGATGCACCCGACCAGTTGTCCATTTTGCCGATAGGCCGTGGCGGTTCTTCCCGCTCGATCTTGGTCTTTGATCAACCAACACAAGCTGGCGTAGGAGTCTTCCACGCATACTGCTTGGTCACGGTTGAGACCTTGACAGAGATCTTCTTGCTCGAAGAAAGCATATCTTCTCCGTCACGAGCTTCATACATGCCTAAACCAGGCATGGCTTGCCTTACTTCCGTTCCACTCTTTGGGTGTTTGGTGAGGAAGTTGGCACAATTCACGGTGCCCTTGACCTTGCCCAAAGCTATCTGCTTGGACTGCAAAGCTCCTTGCACATAGAACTCACAGACTTCAAGGTGTCTGAGTTTGGAACCTGGTCCAATGCGCTTGGAAGCTTGCATTGCCGATGAACTGTCCGTCCATAGGCGGGGCTTACCGCACTGCTGGCCAAAATCTCGGGTGATCAGCTCCTTGAGGAAGATGGCTTCCCGAGCTGCCCTCGAAACTCCCCTGAGCTCAGCATCCGGCGAGCTTGTCGCTGGTAGGCCCGGTTGGGTCTGTGTGCCACATGCGACGATTGCACCACACACAACTGCTATGTAACAGTCGGTGCTTCGCCGTGTTTCCAGGCAACCGGCCCAATCCGAATCGCTATACAATTCGCATGGCCATTCTGAGCTACAATAGGGATCACAGGTTGTGACTCGGCCAACATGTGGATGCGACTGCAAGTATGCCGCGAGAGTCTTGACGGCTTGCATGTCACATTTTTTCGCGGTTGCGACATGTGTCGCGCTGCTTCTTTCACCGCGTACTGGATCTCCCTCCTGTCCAGCGACAGGTAGATCGCTGATCCTACTGCCGAGCGATAAAGCTTGGCATCTGCCTCGCCAAGAGGCTCCGTTTCTAAGAGGTTCAGTTGTTTGGAAGGAACCTCACTGTGGTCTCTGGCGGAGATTCCCGCGGCAGCGATGACAGCTTTGATGTGCTTCTCATCTGGTATCGTGATGATAGCATCTATGGTTCGTACCTTGGTGCGACCCAGGTACTCAACAGCTGTTCCTTCGCTTTCGAGCTCTCCTGCTTGGACCTCGCAGTGTTTTGGCATCTCGACTTCAACCAGGTGGTTGACAGCCTCTTTTGGTCCAGCCATACGGATGTCATCTATGTGGTGAATCAGGATGATCCCTGACTTGTCGCAACGGAAGACACATGGATCCTTCTCACCACGAGAGAAAGAATACATCTGTGGATCAACCTTTGAGCAGAGGATTTCCTCCAACTCATTTCTGTAGACGGATCCGGCTGTCCTTCTGCCGTATAGGTTTCCATCCAACCTGAAGAAAAGTTCTTTGAACGATTCCTTGTACCACTCCTTCAATTCGGGGCTGAGAGTTTCTAGCCATTCAAGGAAGATGTCGTGCCACTCAACTGGTGCACGCATGTAGACATGCTTCCCTTCGCTGGCTCCTCGGTCAGCTCCAATCAAGAAGGCTGCGACGATGTCCAGACTTCGGGCGTAGTAACCCTTTGTCAGAGCATAGACCTCCAGAAGATTGTGCGCTTCTGGGGTAGGAGTTGGAACGAACACGTCCAATCCCTCCTCCTCGGCTGCTGTGTAGCGAGCCTTGACGTCAGCGCATGTGAAACGCGACTTGTATGCTCCTTTGGAACACTTGTCAACCCATTTGTGTGAGAAGATTTGTGAACCTTTTGGGATTTCTCGGCGGTGCACGGGTGTGAAGGCACCTCGCTCCCAAAGCTTTTGAAGTTGGACTTTTCGCGCTTTGGTGACCTCCTCTGGGTCGAGCAATTGGTCGACGAAATCCGTCACATTGGCTATCCTTTGCAAAGCCATTGGATTGCTCTTGTCTTCGGAGTTGGCCCATTCTTGGATATGGGACCAGATCTCGTGATTCGTTAAATGCTGCAAGACACCTGCTTGCCTGGACTGCTTGGCTTCAGCTTGTCCGGGTGCAAGCGCTGCCTGATCATCTCTTACTCGCTTCCCTCCTTGACCAAGTCCGCTCGGACTCATCGGTTCGTCCGGGAGGCTCTGAAGCGACGATGACCATCCCGCACCTCGGAAGGGCGGAGGCCGCCCGCTCGGCCTAGCTGCCGGCGGAGGATCTGCAGCTTCAGATCTTGCTGGCGTGGTGGGTACGCAGCTTAGCGCGTCGTCGTCGTCCGCGGGGATACCCGCTGGGAAGTCCTCGGCTTGGTCGCCAAGTAGGTCTTCCAGCTGGGCTGCGGCCTGCACGACTAACCCATCCTGGTCAACGTTTTGACCATCTTCTGCCAGTGTCGGATGTTCTTCCTCTGGGGGTTCTGATGCCAGCGCGGTGGGACCCGCTGCGGCTGGCGCTGGGAGTGCCACTGGCTGTGACAACTCTCTGTTGATCTTGTGCCTCATCCCGTCGCGGGGTTGCCAAGGAATTCCTTTCATGTCGTTCATCAACTCTTGACTGGTCTGTGATTCCTTTGGCAGTCTTCTCACCGATCTCACGGCGATTGCCCCAGACGACGTGCCGAGCACATTGCTGTCGTCTCTGTCCAGCTTACCTAGCCATATGCCTTTGATCCACCTTCGCTGCATCTTGCCCCTCGGGGTCGGTACTTTACCAAGAACTACTTCGCCTAGCATGGCGACTGGGTGAGAGTAGTCGCTGCCAGTTGTCAGGCGGTAGGGCGTGAGCCCATCTTTTCCTCTCACATGGAAACGTGCTATCAGCCATGCCGCGTGGCGCACAAGCCACGGTGTCAGGTTGCTGGACACGTCCAAGGAAGGATACCGCTTCCTGACGTCGAGCCACAAAGCTCGGATTTGGCTTGCCACAAACCCATTCATGGATTCCACAGCTCCTTGTGATTGGTGCTGCTTGGGCGGAGACTCCCGCACAGAGGCTCGGCTGGATCCAACATGTCTTTGGATTGACTCAGCCAGTGCTCTGATTGAGGGCTCGCCATCATGCTGTAGAATGACTTTGTTGTACCCAAGGTTCTTCAGGTAGAGGTCCACATTCTGTAGACAATACCTGGACTGGGCTACCTCGGTTGACTTGTTGGGAAGTTGAAGTGCCAGCGGCCAGCCTGTCACCGTGTCAGTCAGACACAGGATTGTGACCAGCCTTGACTCATCTTCAACCTCTTCCTCTTTCTCAGGAGAGAGAGAGAGAAGTAATCCATTTGGATCAACCCTGTTCCCTCACGCGTTGAGGATTGATCCCTCCTATGCCAATCTTGTTTGGCCTTACCCGACACGCACTCTTCACACCATGGTTGAAACGGTAGGTGTGTAAGGCGATGGGATTCCACTTGCGCCTCAGTGGGGCTTATGGGTTGCGACAACCCCTCTGGCTCCACAGGTGGCGGGGCTTCCGCTTCTTCCTCCAGGTCTGCCAAGAGACCGGGGTCTTGTTCCAGAAGCTCCTTGGCCTTTCTCACTTCTTCTTCACGCCTGGCATATTCTTGCACTGCCTCGGCTTCTTCATCCTCTTGCATGGCATAGGCTTGAACTGCCACTGCATCTTCATCGATGGCTGCCACCTTGCCATATCTGGTGGTAGGTTGCTCCAACTCTTCAAACGGAAGGAGAAACTGTTTGCCCTGCCTGGCAAACGTGGCTTTCCTGCCATCTGCCCATTGGATGTAGCAGTTGTCACTTTCAAAGTGGACACTGGCTCCCATGTCCAATGCCCTGTTGACTGACAGGATGTTTTCGTTCACACCTTCAACCACCTGAAAGGTGACTTGAGCTTCTTCTTTGAGCTTGTCTCCAAGCCTGAGCTGAGGGCGGATTTCCCCGCACGCCTTCAGTGGAGTGTCATCCACCGTGTATAGTTCCTCAACGGCGTTGGGGTCCAAGAGAGCACTTGGAAAAGCCTCAGGTCTACAGACTGAAGAGCAGGCTCCTGTGTCCACCAGCAGTGTGCCTCTGCTGGCAACCTTGGCCACTCGTGCAGTGTCACTTCTTTGGAAGACTTGAAGTGCCCATACCCTGGTGCCTTGAAACGTCTCATGTGGCTCATGCAGGAGCTTCCATTTCTTTCTGAACTCCTTGCAATCCCAGGCGTTGGACTCTTCATTCCACTGCCACGTTGACCTAAACGTGTAGCCAGGATACTGTGACCCTGGTGTTGCATACTTTCGTGTTGCACCATTCTTGCCTTTCACCACAAACACCTTGGTGTTGGGATCAGGGTCGTGCCATCCAGGTTGGTCTCGATAGGCAAAAATTGCTTCCAACTTGGATACAAGAGATTCCTTTGCCAAAATGGCATTGCCAGTAGAGATTCCTCCACCTTCCGGTATGGCCAAAATGGCCTTTGGTGAAACATGGCGGTGTTGCCCGCTGCTGGTGGCCTTGACCATGAGAAGTCGGTGTTCCCCGATCATTCCAACGTTCTTCCCTTTGTTGGAAGTGGTCGTGGATGGAAGGGTGATTACACTTTGACCACCAACTTGAGAAGCAGATGGCCCTGCAGAGATCACTGACGCATTGTCTTCAGTGATACCTGCAACTCCTTTCTTGCCCTTCCCCTTTGGTTGGCCTTTTGAGTTGAACCAACACTTCTCAATGGTGTGGCCGGTTTTCCAGCATATGGCGCAACCATCCTTTTCCTGTTGACCTTTGCCACCTTTGTTGTTGTGGCTGTCTTTTCCTTTTCCTTTGGCCTCTTTCCCTTTGCCCTTCTTATGGTCCTTTCCCTTGCCATCTTTTCCTTTCCCCTTTCCTTTGCCATCACCAACAAGGCTGATGTCCATGGCATCTGGATCTCTTGTGCGTGCGGCGGCTCCCGCATACGCGGCTGATGGCCTCCAAACCTGCTTTGCTTGCAGATAGGACACCACCACCTCACGCACAGACTGATACGTGGAAAGGGTTCCAATGTGCATGGAAAGGTGTTGCTTCAGGGCGGTTGGCGCCTCAGTAAGGACCACAGCTCTTTTGTCTTCGTCGCTGATGGCCTTACTGGGACCATATTCGGCCTCATATTTGTCAAGGTCAGCTTCCCACTCTAGAGTGCCGCTGAAAACTCTGCTTCCTTTGCAGGAAACTTGGGACTGAGCAACGAGCGCCGCCAGATCAAACTCTTGGAGTGATTGTCTGGGGCCATTTCACGCCACAACAGTCTCCAAAACTCAAAACCATTTTGGTCTCGAATGCCACGGGCAATCTTACTTGCCACTGCCAATTCTTGAGTCCACGAGTTCAGCATTGCAAACAATTGCCTCCCTCGGGATTTGGCTTCGTCAGTCATATCGACTGGATCCACAAAACTGGTGAGCTTGCGTGCATTGTCCAAGTCTGCTGGAAAGTTTTCGTCCAGCAAAGCCAAGTATGTTTCTACTTGGAAACTGAACCGTTCCCATTGGTCTCGATCCTTTAAGGATTGAGGCTGTTTCACAGACTTGAGCACGTCAATATGATTGACCGGCTTACTGCTTCCGGCGGGTGTTCCCGCGCTCTGGAGCGGGGGAACTTGCCCTTGGGCGACGCCTACGTTCGCGGTCTGCTGCAAGGATTGCTGCAATAGTGCCATAACGCCTGTCAGGCGCTGGTCCAGCTCTTGCTTTTCCTGCTGCTGCTGGGCGTTCTGCTGCACCTGGCTCTGATGGGCGATATTCAGCGCTTGCATCTGACTCGCTAGAGCATCCATCCGCAGCTGCATTTCGCCGATGACCTGTTGTGGGTCTGTCATCGCGTTCTTCTTCGGGCCTTTCGTCCACGACCTCAGTGGTCAATGGTGGCTTCGGTTGTTGGCTTGATTGGCTCAAAACCCCTTGGATTTGGTCACACAAGTCCAATGCCTTGCTCAGCTCGGCCTCAACTGCTGGGCCTTTGCTGTCGGCGGAGGACCGTGCGGTGCTTGGGGACGACGCTGCTCCAGCCACTTGGTTTGGGCTGCTACAGCTTCTGCTTCTCGCCTGGCGGTTTCCAGGTCAGGGATCTCGCACACCTCGTAGCTGCTATAGCTCGAGAGCGAATCTCCCCACTCAACTTCTGTCTCGTTGCCAGACTCTTCTGCTGGCGCGTCAGCTGCCGCGGCTGCGATCTCTTCTGGGACCTCTGGCTGAGGCTGGTCCAGAATGCGCCGGGCTTCACTGATGTAGTGCTCGTCCGGTACCCTTGGAGGAGTGGGCACACGAACGGAGGAAGAAGCTGGTAGCTCCTCCTCTAGAACCTCTTCCAGTTCTTCTTCTGGAATGGGCTCTTGTGACTTGGCCTTCGTCTCGGCCTTGTCTCTTCGCCTGCGATCCTTCCGAGGGACCAGGCTAACTTCAGCCTCTTCGTTCGCCTCTAAGGCTGCTTGGCCTGGGGGCGGGGCTGACCGCGCTCTCCTCTCGCTAGTGGACACCCGTGGGGGTCTACTTGGCTCGGGAGGAGCGGTGTCTCCTTGCTGCGGCTCTGTCTGAGTCGCTGCTTGCGCCTGTTGGGCTGCTAGCTCAGCCTGTCTTCGGCGCTCTTGTCCTCGATCGATCCGGCGCTGGGTCGCTGCAACGGATCGATGTCCACGACGATTCCTGTCTTGAGTGAATCGGCTATCTCTCCTTGGAGTTCGATTTGACCGGGCTGCCTCTTCCTGCCAGGTGGCGGCAGAGGACGCTCGGGAACGACGGTTCCAGCCTCTCGTCTCCGTAGAGGACGTTGGCTGCGTAGATCGGGCTCGGCTGTCCCAATCCCCGTTGTCTTGCCAAGAGCGGTCGTACCACTGGTCTTGGCTTTGCCAGCTTCGATCCCACCAACTGGAGGATCTATTCCACGGATCTACGTGATCCTGTCCTGAGGACGTCGTGTTGTTGGGGTTTGCCACGTGCCTTGGCACGCGGGGCTACCCGCTGGGATTGGCGATGTCGATCTCGGCCTTAGCCGGCGGATCGACCCGCACTGAACCTTGGAGCGTATTGGGCTCCGCTACCATGCAAACAGCAAAGTTACACGGTGGTGCGTATTGGGCTCAAAAACACAGGTGGTGACAACACAGTACTGTTGACTCGGTCACCTCACTTTTTCCTCGAGTAGCACGGATGTGCTAAAAGGGGCTGCGGTCACGTCAAGTGTCTTACATGACATGCCATCTCTACTCCTAGCTAGCTACTTAGTTCTGAACTAGGTGTTTTACCCCTAGCAAGTTGCCAGAACCACAAAAAATGGAAAAGTAATTTATCGTTATTTAAGTAGGATCTTGCATTCTCCCATCTGTGGGGACTCGGGGTGACTATCTATACATATACGTATGCAAAAGCATATGTTATATTATATATATACATATAGATAAATCGAGGTTTCCTAAAATGGGGGTACCCCAATTATCATCAGTCATCATCCTTTTTCAAAGGAATTTCCATTGTACACCATCAATTTTGGGGTACCTCCAAGTGTCGTATTCACTGCTCGACTCCTCCTGCGCTTCCGGCACCGCAGTCACGGCCGCGGCGCCTGCTTCGCTGGGCCCAATGCTGTGCTCCGGGGGCAAGGGATGTGCCGCCAGACCAGGAAAGCCTGGGCGAAATTAGGGATGCTGCAGCAAACATGTTGTTAAACATATTGTTAAACATATTGTTAACATATTTAACATGTTGTTTAACACATGTACTGAAACATATTGTTAAACATATTCGCTGCAACCTGGACGTTTGCCCGGAGTTGATGTCCCGCAATCAACGTATTGTTCAGAGGGGGTGGCTAATTTTGATCCCTCATGAAGATAAAGTTGATGTTATTTCCCCAATCAACATATTGTTCTGAGGAGGTGGCGAATTTTGATCCCTCATGAAGATAAAGTTGATGTTGTTGGCCCGTTCAGCATATTGGTCATAGGGGTGTTGGATTTTGATCCCTCATGATGATCAGGTGATATTGTTTCCTCATGAAGATAAGTGTATTCAAGGTATCTTTCACATGCCACCGTGGCCTAATTTGCCCCCTTGGCTTTGCTTGGATTCGGAACTTCCCAGCAACACAGAATTGTCTCTGTTATGTCACAATGGTGAGTCTGGGCGAACGTTAAGGTTGCCGACAACATATTACATATATACATATGTATATATATATACATACACACTGGATATCTATCTATCTATCTATCTGTCTATCTGTCTGTCTATCTATCTATCTATCTATCTAATCTATCTATCTATCTATCTATCTATCTATCTAAACAATATACGGAAGGGAACGTTTGATGATAATCCATTGGAATTGGATACAATATCACAATTTTCACATCCAATTTTCATATCAGAAAATCAGTTTACCATAGTTTACCATCTTATTAGAACCAAATCATCATTGAAATATCACCATATTATTGTTTACAAGTTTACAATTTTAACCCAATTTACCCAAATAGGTCACCATCTCCCAAACGAAAATCTGGGTTCAGCGGTTGATGAATCTTCCTCTTCTTGTCCCATGCAGGGAGGGTTTACAGTCAGGGGATGGGATAGGTGCCATAGGTCTGGAGATGTACACAACATATTTTTCTTGGTATAACCATATCTATGTACATGAATGACTGAATGACCCAATGCTGCAAGCAATCTGACAGAGAACATGAGCCATATATAAACCGTCAGCTCATGAGATGTTTTGCTTGGCCAAAAAACGGCCAAGATCACTGAACGCTCCGGAGCCAAACATATTAGTTTATCAGTTTTTTCTTTTGTGAAACATCCAGCAATTCACTCTCAAAAAAAACCACCACTTTCCGCACATTTTTCAGCCAAGAAACTTCTTGAGGGCGGCATCATCCCTGGTTGCCACATGGCGGGGTTCGGTGTCGCCGGCACATTGGATGCCCCGTAGAAGGTGTACTGTGCTCCCGAAGGCGCGAGGCCACTGGCAGGTGCGCGGTAACCTCACAGGGGTTGGTAGTCATCATTAAAAAAAGGGTGGATTTAATGAGATACTTATGGGATATCATGTGGATATCATATGGATATCACTTGGTTGGTTGAGTTGGGAAAATCTACAGATTTGGGACATCCAGTTCTTGTTGAATCTTGGGAAGGCATCCAATCGCGTGACCTACAACCAAACGTGGCAGCCTTTTGCAGGTTTCACTTCTTTCCCTTGTCAAAAAGTCTAAACTGACCAAGGGAATTACCAACGGAATCAAATGGAACATCGTTGAAGCCTGGCCTTGAATCTGTGGTTGCATTGGTTGCATTGGCTGCTGCATCTGGACGGGCTGTCCGGCCACGGAATGGATGTACGTTTGCCGCTGCTGCGGCTGGCCATATTGCACCGTGGCAGCGTGGTGGTAGGGATGCATGGCGCCGAAAAAAGCAAAGTCAAGGTGATCTTCACGTCTCCGTATGGGTCAAGACGTATCACTTTGCCAAATGAATGGGGATGGACATGCATTAATCTCAGCTATGTTCAAGGGTGGGTTTAGGTTCTGATCGCCATTTTTTTTGCCTGGAAAGTCACGTCTGAGTCATAGTACCTACCTGGAAGTAAGGATCGTTATGCCACTTCTCATCTTAGGACATGATTTCGCTGCTTCAAGACCACCAAAAAAATGACAATATGTATGTCAGTCAGACATGAGCACTGAAACATGCATATCATATCAGCGTTGCCTGACTCAGTGGACGAAGCTTGAGCAACGCGGCATTTTGGCGCGCTAGACGTCCCACATGGCAAGAAACTACAGAGCAATGTTGCCATTGACTCACTATTGATCAACCACAGCTTCATGTTGACTTTGTGCAAAACAGAAAGAGTTGTTGGTCTCCCTTTCACGAAGAGCTGCCTTCAATTTGTGGGTGACAAAAAAGTGAATCACAATTCTCAAGTCCATGGACACTTGAACTACTCGTCAAAACGAATTACTTTGAAGAGAGCGACCTTCGACAGAGTTTCTGGACGTTGGGTAGCTGCCCATGCATCAGTAGTTGGTACCGTCAAATCTGCAAACATTTCACCGTACATTCGTTGGGAACCTTTTTTGCAAACCACTTCGACCCTGAGGTGCAGATCATGATGGTGATCTGAGTGTTTTTTCTTGCCAGCATGGCAGCATATTTTCGTCCATAGGTTTCCTGAAATGAGGGTATCTCCAAATCATCCACTTAAAAAAAACATTTTCCATGACATAAACCATCCAGCTAATGGGGGTAGCCCCATTTCAGGAAACCTCCATATCTGACTGAGAACTCCCCATTTCTGAAACGAATCAGCCAACCTCCCGGAAAGCAAAACGTCCGGGCTCACGCGATGGGTGCGCTCCAATGGATCACTGGGCCTCCGGAGCCTGCAAAAATGGGTGACCTGAGGGACAGTGTGACGGCGTTGTTGGCGATGGTTTGTTACTTGTCCCACGTTTCTGAAGAGAAAGTCTAGCCATAAAAACCTCAAATGATCTTAACATCTTAAAGTCCTTTATAATTTTATATAAGCTTCTAAATTTCCTACTTTTGTTGTTGATGTCAGCTAATAAAATCCATCTGGAGATGGAATTTCCTATTGAAAAGAATGTTTTGCCATGTTTGATCGAAAGTTGATATCATAGGTTTGTCGCAAAATATCCAAGGTGTATCATCTTGTAGATTCTCTATCTGATATAATATCCCATGATATTCATGATATCCCTATTATGGTTGGTGTACACTAACATTCCCATTTCCGAAGAAAGCCATTGGCCAACCTCAGTTGGTTATCAGCGGATATTATAATATATTATACACATATGTCATATGTCCGATTGTTGATACGTATATTTGCCTCTTATTGATAGTGAAATGCCTTTCTTTTTGAGACGCCCATCTCAAAAAAACTCCTGCCGATGCTGCAATGCTGGGCCGCCCATGCCACGTCCTTCGAACTTTCGCGGCCTCAAACGTGGGGAGATAACTGAGATACCACTTTGTTACATAGCTATTAGAACATGGCCATTTATAGTTGATTTAATGGGATAACAATGGGATTAATGATCATATTAATTATGGATACTATATGGATAATATATCTGGGTAAATTTTGTGATATTTCACTCACCTGAATTGTTGGGCCATAAAAGGGGATGATTTCCCTTACTAAGCATGATTTCCAGTGAGGGAGAACAGTGAGGTCGTGATGAAATTTACCCAGAGCTATTGAACATGGCCATTTATAGTTGATTTACCTAATGAAACTGGTGGTTTTCCATAGCTATGTTGGTTTACCAGAGGGTAACCTGGAAATTGGGGAATTCACCATCAAACATGGGAGCTTCCCAACAATGAGGAGCTCACCATCAAACATGAGACAACTAGACTAGAGTTTACCAAGAAGAGTGGACGCAGCAGCAACAAAACATCTGGATTTAATCCACATCAAGACTTCATGAAACAACAGTAAACAAAATATGTGTTTATTCTAAGCATTGATGTGGTAAAACTACCAAAATCATCCTTCTTATGGAAGAAAACCTTCCCAGTCATGGTAGCTTTATTGGCTTTCCCACATTCGTGGGGACTGAAAAAACTACCATCAGGAAAATCTCCCAATTTGCCAGACGCTGATGCTTTTCTCACCAAACCATCACTGGCCCATCACCATATCTGCTAGTTGGTAACACTTAAAATACCCTCTGGTAATTTAACATAGCTATTGAACATGGCCATTTATAGTGAGTTTTCCCATTCAAAATTGTGATTTTCCATAGTTATGTTAGTTTACCAGAGCGTATTCATTGGTTTATTCTCCTGCTGAATTCCAACATAATGGTGACAGATCTATTCGGTTGGATAGCGACATCCACATTTTTGCTTGTTTAATTTGAATAGTGTTCATGAAAACGCAGTTTTGTTTGTCCAGCTGAGTAAAATACCCATTTGGGGTGGTTTCCAAAAATGGGTCTACCCCTAAATCATCCATGTTAATAGGATTTTCCATTATAAACCGTCCAGCTATTGTTGGGGCACCCCCATTGTAGGACACCTCCAAATCAAGCTGGATGAATCATAACCATTGACCGTTCTCAGACAGGGCCATGCTGGATGGCTTCAGCCTAGGTACCCTAGCTATGAGTTGGCCTTTATCATCATCTAACCATAGATACATCCACTTTGAGTCTAATATTTAGCCAAATTGTAAACCAACTTATTTAAGAAATCCTAATTTTTTGTGGTTGATTTTCCTCGAATGGTCATGTCAGCGGATTAGAATTCCAAGCTGATTGGGAGAATCAACCCACTAATTTTTCATGGCAGTCTACCCATGTTACCCCTCAATGGAAATCAATGGCATCTATTGCAATGTTGTTTTTTGACCGTATTAGACTGCCATTTTTTTTGTGCCAACGGTAATCTATGGAAAAGCATCACTTCCACCCAGATCAATGGCTGATCAGCTGGAGATCTTACCCCACACCCTGCCTTGTCTAAGGAGACGTGCGAAGCCATGCTGGTCATGTTCACATGGCCCTAGCGAAGAGAATCATGATCCCACAGGGTGGTGCCCCAGTTCGGAATCGCGATTGGTTGGTGCTAAGTGGCAACTATCATCAATCGATAAACCATAGCTATTAGTTGGGTCAAATCACCTATGATAGATGCTTGATATAGTTTATAAGTCCAATTTCACTCTGGTTTTTTGTAGGTGATATATCGAACTAGTCAATGGGATTATAACCCATTTATAACTAGGGGCACCACCTTGCATCCACATCTGAGCGTTCAAAAACCTGGCCATTCCAATCCTGTTTGATCTGGTTGGTTGGAACTCGCAGCTCATGGACCATGATCATCCCCAATATATTTGGTATTAATCTCCTGTAATCGTCAACCAGTAGGGCTTTTGAACACTGCTCATCGATTTGTTGGGGATTCAAGTTTGTAGTTTTCAGGTCATACGGGTAGATTTACGTTTGAGTCCTGCCTCGGAAATCGTATGGTTTGATCTTTGGGGTCCCATCTGTCTAGTCAAATCTGTGTGGCACCTGGGTGCAAAATGTAACCATTTTTTTGCAGAAACACAGCTGAAGTCTGAAACGCATCCTCTTGAAAGGTTGGAGGCCCCAAAATGGACGGCGACTCACTTGCGCACACAAAATTGACTCAACTGCGCACACAGGATTCTGACTCACTTGCGCACACAAAAGTGTCTCAGTTGTACACACAGAGCCTTCGGGGGATGGGGTGGGGCTCGTTAACGTCATTATCTTTCTTGCTGTCCAGCAGACACAGGCACTGCTCTTTCATGATCAGTTACCGGTGGGGTGGGGTGGGGCGGGGTAATAACGTTCATGTTCCTGTGCACACAAAGGCACAGCAACCTCATCATCTTTCTTGCTGTCCAGCAGACACAGGCACTGCTCTTTCATGATCAGTTACCGGTGGGGTGGGGTGGGGTAATAACGTTCATGTCCCTGTGCACACACACAGGCTCCGCAACCTCATCATCTTTCTTGCTGTCCAGCAGACACAGGCACTGCTCATTCATGATCAGTTACTGGTGGGGTGGGGTGGGGCGGGGTAATAACGTTCATGTTCCTGTGCGCACACAGGCACAGCAACCTTATCATCTTTCTTGCTGTCCAGCAGACACAGGCACTGCTCATTCATGATTAGTTACCGGTGGGTTGGGTTGGGTTGGGGTAATAACGTTCATGTTCCTGTGCACACACAGGCACAGGCACAGCAACCTCACCATCATCATCATCATCATCATCGTCATCGTCATCGTCGTCATCATCATCATCATCATCACCATCATCATCATCATCGGCATCGGCATCGTCATCATCATCATCATCATCACCATCATAAGAACATAATGGGGATATTCCAATGAGTGTACCACCACCCACTCTTGGCACTGCAAAACAATATGCCACAAACGTCGGCCTCGTTCTTGTCCCATCACCATCACCATCATCATCATCATCAGCATCATCATCAGCAGCAGCATTATCCGCGTGCACAACTGAGTTGTTTTTCGCGTGCACAACCGAGTTGGTTTCTTCGCGAGGCACCATCCCCCCAAAATTGTCAAATCCCATATGAAAATGACTGAGCTTAACACCATTATTCTGGCCCAATTCATGATAATTCACCAACCTGAAACACTTCCATTTTGGGATAATTATTCACGCTAACTACCCTCTGGCAATCAAACATGAAAAAATGGCCCTCTGGTGAAAAATATACTTTTACAGTACTGGTAGAATCATCATCAATAAATGGGGAATGTTCCAGCAAGCCGTGTTCGATTACCAGAGGGTAGCCTCTGGTCATTTAACGTAGCTATGTAAAATCGCAAATTTTTAGAACGGTAAATCATTATCTT